AGTGAAAAAGGAAGACCAAAGAAGTATTGATGCCTTTAAATTATGTTGTTGGTAAAGAATATCGAAAGTGCTGTGGACTACCAGAAGAATGAACAAATCTGTCTTGAAGGAAGTATAGCCAGAATACTCCTTGGAAGTGAGTCATAAGTACTTTAGACATATTATCAGAAGGAAATAGTCCCTGGAAAAGGATATGATTCTTTGTTAAGTAAAAGGTCATTGAAGAAGAGGAAGACCATCAATGAGATGGACTGACATAGTTACTGCAACAATGGGTTCATATATAAAAAAAAAATGTGTGGATGGCACAGGACCAGGCAGTGTTTTGCTCTATTATACATTGGATTGCTGAGAGTCAGGACCAACTCAGTGGCACATAACAACATCAATATCCTTTTGGATGTCTTTTTACAAAGACACAACCAGCTTGACTGATAATCTTTTTTCCTCGTATTGGTTCAGATCACTATCCTGTCAGTGATGTCTTATGTGTCTCAGCAAATCTATGACCATTTCTTGGAATCTGTGGGGAAGACTGTTATTTTTGGAGAGTTGAGGGGAAGGTAACTAGAGGAGATTGACATTGAGATATATCTACATCTACATCTGTATCTCTATATCCATATGTATCCTCATATGCATGGGAAAGCTGGACAATGAATAAGGAAGACTGAAGAAGAATTGATGCCTTTGAAATGTGGTGTTGGTGAAGAATATTGAAAGTACCATGGACTGCCAGAAGGATGAACAAATTTGTATTGAGAGAAGTGCAGCCAGAAGGCTCCTTAGAAGCAAGAATGGTCGGACTTTGGTTGGTTGTGTCAGAAGAGACCACCCCCTGGAAAAAGATATCATGTTTAGTAAAGTAGAGGGTCAGTGAAAAAGGGGAAGACCCTCAATGACCCTCAACTGACACAGAGGCTGCAACGATGGGCTCAAGTGTAGCAAAGATTATGAGGATGGTGCAGGACCGGCTAGTAGTTCATTCTGTTATACAGAGGGTCGCTATGAGTTGGAACTGACTCGAAGGCACCTAACAATAACAACATCTACACTTATTTTTTTTGGCCAGAAATATCCTGAGTATTGTATTATGTTGTTAATAGGTGCCATCAAATCAGTTCTGACTCATAGTGACTCTATGCACAACATAAAGAAACACTATCTGGTCCTGCACCATCCTCACAGTTATTGTATTATAAAATACAATAATGGAAATGAATAGACTATAATCAAATTGATGAATCTACCAAACAAAATGTTATATAAAGGAAGTTCAAACTCACTGCTGTTGAGTCGATTGGATTCATAGTGATCCCTCCCTGAGTTTCCAAGGCAGTATCTTTATGCAAGTAGATTGCCAAATCTTCCTTCCTAAGAGTGGCTGGTGGGTTTGAACTGCCAGCCTTCTGGTTAGCAGTCAAAATGCTTTAGGCACTATGCCACCAGAGCGCCTATGAAGGAAGTTAGACCCCCAGAAAATATTCTGTATGATTCAACTTAATGTTTTTTTTAAAAAATTTCATGTGGAGTAAATGATAGTGTTTAAGGATACCTGCTTATGTGATAAAACTGAAAAGATTAATAAGAAAGTAATTGCCTCAATAGGATAGTTGTTATCTTTGGCAGAGGACAGAGCCTGTAGTTATTGGAAGGTGGCATGAAGGATGCTTTCTGGTGCAGAAAATGTTTTATTATTTCACCCTTGTGGTGATTACATGAGGGATATCTTTGTGATAAATATTTGAGCTGTACTTTCTTATTTCATACATGTTTCTAAGTGCATACTGTATTTCGTAATTAAAAACAAAGTAGTAGAACAAATAAACAATGACCTAGTACAATGTAAAGAGGTGAAAAGACACTGGTCCTACCATGAAAACCTCAGTATCCACAACCCTGAAACTTAGATGGTGTCTAGTCACAACTACTGACTGCTCTGAAATGGATCACATTAGAAGGTCTTGGATAGAGTGAGAGAAAAATGTGGAACAAAACTCATAATCATGAAAAAGACAAGGCTTACTGGTCAGATAGAGACTGGTGGAACCTTGGAGACTATGGCTCTTACTGATCCTTCGGGCCTGGAATTGCACATCTCCTGCCTTATGTTTTAATTTTCAGGCAAACAATAGACAGTCTATAAAGTGAACAATACCAATAACACTAGGGAAGTATGCACTCTTTAGAACAATGAACCATTTGAGAGTAAAAGGTCAACATTTGCACAAGGACAAAGTTCAGAAGGCAGAAAGGATTAGGAAAGAAGGAAGTACGGAAATGGGAAACACAGGGAGGAGGTAGGATGAATGATGTTACATTGGAGGGATTGCAATCAGTGACATGAAACAAAATAAGAACGAATTGCCAAACGGAAAACTGATTTTCTCTGTAAATTTTCACCCAAATCACAATAAAAGCTAATAAGTTAATAAAGTTTCTGGTCCTAAATATGTAACTTGGATTTTCAATGGTAGGTTGAGTCCCTGTGTATAGCTTAAATAATGCATTCACAGGGCTGCAGGGATAAAATTTCACAAGTAGGAAATGGATATACCTCCCACTTCCTGATGCCTATTTGACTTTTGCCAATCTCCAATTCTAGGGAGATTTGAGAGTTTTATAGGCATTTGCCATTACACATCAACTTTGATTTAAAAATCCAACTTGAGGGAAGATCTTGAAAAACAAGTACATTGTGAGAGTGCTAAGCTTTCTTTATCTGCAGAACAGAGTTAGGGTTGGTATTGTTCAAGGCTACCATGAAAGAAAGGAAATTTCTAAACAACATTCTCTGAAATATTTATTATGTTGAATCCTCAGATATATTTGCAAGAATTCTTTTAAGTTATTGCAAGAAAGTACTCATTCCCTATATTCTAGTATCAAACCTCTAAGCTATAGTACTTTTCAAAAATATAAGCTGTATCATTTAAATGCTGACAATTGCAATGAAAAGAAAAGTTTTCACAAGAAGGATAAGAGTTCATGAGGGCAGTAGGTTGGTAATTAGAGCCAATTTTCCTATTGCAGCATAGCATCAGGTTGTCTTGGCGTATGAGAATATTCTGGCCCTCTATATTGCTACCATAAATCCAACTCAATACATTTAACTTAAAATTCATAATAGCAGGTTGGTTCTGCTTTTTATAGTCACCCCAGACCTTGTACATGCATATTTTATGTACCGGTTTAATATAGTACACAATGAGTTGAGCATCCATCATGTGGACTTGAATATATCAGTACAGGCAGTTCCTGGATTGTGAATGAGAGCCACACCTAACTATGTCTTTAAGAATTTGTAGGTCAGTCAGAACAGATACAAACGGTTCTTATTTAGCCTTTCTTAAGTGCAGAAAAAGGCTCAAAGACTTTTCAGTGACTTAAAAGCTATATATGCAGCAAGCGAAGGTGATTGTGATAAAGTATTTATTGCGAGTAGGAGTTGGTTCAATTATTTCAAAGTGAGGGCCAATTTACATAACATTAAAGGGCATGGCAGCATAGTACCTAAGGCACTTGACTGCTAACCAGAAGGCTGGCGCTTCAAACCCACCAGCCACTCCTCAGAAGGAAGGTTGGGCAATCTACTTCTGTAGTGATACTACCTCAGAAACCCAAGGAGGAGTTGCTATGAGTTGGGTCCGACTTGACGGCACATAACAACAACAGGAGTTGTTCGTTAATTGAATGCTTGTAACCCGGGGTCTGCCTGTAGTGGAAAGTTTAGCATCTACAAGCATAACATATATGAAGATAAACACACAGGCATATAAAAAGGTAGCGGGAAACAGAAAGAAATATATAGAGGTTTTTAAATCTAAGATTAGAAAACTGGGAAACCTTTGAGTGGTCATTTATTACATTTGATTGCTTCAAGGGGCATCTTTTTTCTAAATATTCTATTGTCTATTCCCGTCTTAAAACTCTACAGGGAAGAGATTATATTGTAGTCAGCCCTCAATGACAATTTTTTTTTTTTAACATGGGGAGGAAGATGGATATGGAAGTGTTGAGGAACTTTATATAATCCAATCTGAATATTAATGAATTTTGAGATAAAAGTGATGAGACAATTTGTGTTTCTGCAATGGATGCTTTAGTCTATTGTTAGAAGCAGAATTCATCCTCAGTTTCAGTGACAGAAAGGTTAAGTTAGAAAAGCAGAGGCTCATTAGCTACTTAATTGGAACTTATCAGTCTTGCCATTTATCTGAACAGAGGGGGAGACATTTATCCAAGCAAACCACGGCGATGACTGTGACCATTGATTGAAGGTCTTCCCTCTGCCAGGCACTATGCTCAGCACTGACAAACTCTAATCTTCACGATGACCGTGTAAGAAAGCTATTGCTGTGGCCTTTGCTTATTAATTTTTATTGTGATTTGAGTGAATGTTTACAGAGCAAATTCATTTGCCATGCAGCAGTTCATACACATTTTGTTTTATGACATTGATTGCAATTCCCCACAGCGTAACAGCTCTCTTCCCACTTCTCTGGCTATGGTCTTTTTCCAGAAAAGGAAGTTGAGACTCAGAGAAGTTAAGTTACATCCTCAAGGTTACAGAACTAAGTGCCAATGGCCTTGGGAAAGCAAAATATAGTTTCACTCTATGGCTCCCGGGTGCATGATGAACACCTGGTTTCCAGAGGGACATTTTTGGCTTTTAGGCTTGTATAAATCTGACCAAATATGCATTTGCTTTGTAAGACTCAGTGTATGTGTGAATATGTATGGATAGAATACTTAACCTTCTGAAAGGAAATAAAGGCTAAATCTGCTGTATCATAAAATGATGGAATGGTTTGTCCACAACTTGCACAGAAAAGCAATATCTCCCAGGCAAGAATCAAATAGCTAGTTCTGTGAATGGGTGAGGCAGAGCCCGCTTCTTGGTGGTATTTCCACTGGCAAAGGGGACTTCACAGAGAGAGATGAGTGAGGTCTGGGAGCTCTGCAGTGTGAGTGAAATGCCAAGTGTGCCAAGTTCCTACCTTCTGATTGATTTTCATCGTCTCTTCAGTGTGGTAGAGAAGGAATTTTTCCCCAGAAGAAGTCAAATTCACATACACTTGGAGGCAGGGATACTGAGAGAGTTTCCAGCAGTCTGGACCACAGCTGAAGGAGCAATTAAATGTTTCTGTGATGGATGCATTGAGCAAGGTGCACTGAGACTCTTCGGTCCACACACTAGAGAGAGAGGGGTGAGAAAGGAACACAGGTCCAAGGAGGTATGACAAGGAGGTGGAATCAGAGGGGTTTTGTTAGCTTTTCACCCTGAAGAGTTTTTTTTTCCAAATCTCTTATATAATTCCTGGCTCTTTGGCTCTGTGTGTAAAGTTTATGCCTTTTTAGAGCAGCTTTAGGCACACTGCAGCATGAACACAAATTTTGCCTGACATCTGAGAACTTTTTCAATGGCTCCCATTGACTATAGTGTAATATTCTCCAATGCCTAGTTTAGATATTTTTTTCCCCTTATTGAACTCATAGGTAAACATAAAGTAATTTTAAAAATCATGTCCTGTACTCACTCTGTATTTCTATATTATAAGCAACTCTCTGTCATACTTCAGTCTTCATCTCTGCAATGCTCTGCTTTGTACTCTCCTTTTCCCAAACCCAGCCCAGTTTGTAGGAAGTGAAGGTGTAAGGGAGAAGGGGAGGGAAGATGGCAAAAGAGTGGCAGGATCTAAGGCCTAACTTGAAAGAAGGAAAGAAAGAGGTATATTTCCTTAAGATCTATCTAGCCAGGGAGGAAAAAAATAACTCAACCCTTTGATTGCACAAAGAGCAATCACTTATTGACACACTTCCTCACTCTGATCAATGTTTTATGTACAAAGTTTCCTTTTGCCCTCCAAACAACCCTGCAAATAGGATACTAATTCGGAGCTCTGGTAGCCTAGTGCCTAAGGCACTTGACTGCGAACCAGAAGGCTGGCGGTTCAAACCCACCAGCCACTCCTCGGAAGGAAGTTTAGGCAATCTACTTCCGCAGTGATACTGCCTTGGAAATCCAGGGAGAGGTCGCTATGAGTTGCAGTATGAGAACTGAAGGTCATGGAAATCAAGTAACAAATCCAAGGACACACAGTTAGTAAGTGATTCCACCCAATCGTGTATTTCTTAAAGGTCAGGCTCATTCCAGTGTGTTATGCTGCCTCTCTATGAACACAATGGAAAAGAAACTCCTGTGGAGATTAATGGTTAATATCAGTGCCCTGGGACCTCTCAACTAGAAAGGTACGAAAAATCTCCAGCTGCCCATTAGTCAGTTTTTCATTTTAAAATATTTATATTTTTATGATCAAAGGTATCATTTGTAATTAGGAGGTAACACACCAGCAATCAATTTTTTGCTTCTGGGTATAAGCTGATTACCATAGTGATTGGAAAACATGTTTTCTTTGCAGCTCAATACTGCTTCCTTCTGCTAGACATGCGTTGATGAGGCCCCCTCCGGTGTGAGGGATGTTTTATGTTAGAGGTAAGCTATTAGACTCAAACCCCTGAGGTGTGGTGAATTCTGTCCTCCTAGGGCAGGGATGGTCAGATTTTGCTTATACTATGAGGTTTTAAGCAGATGTGGGGATCTGGAAGTGGTTTTGGAATCAGGGAATACTTGGGCTTGAAGCATCAGCACTTTCCTTGAGAACAAGCACAGGTAAAGGCCACCAGAGAAACAGAGCAGAGCAGCCACAAATGTGAAAGATAATGTCTTACTTCTAGTAAACTATTGTATTTCAGCTAGATTTTGCTTCTAAAAGGAAAGTATTAATTAATGTGGGGAAATGAATGCTACAGAATGGTTTGATTTTCTTTTGAACTGAAACTTCAATTTTTCATTTGGAAGGGGCTTAAAAAAATTTTTTTTTGAACATTTTATTGTGGTTTGGGTGAAAGTTTACAGAGAAAATTAGTTTTCTATTCCACAATTTTTACACATTTTCTTTCAGTTGCAATCCCTTCAACGTAACTGCGTTCTTGCTACCTCCTCCCTGGCTTTTCCATTTCCATTAGTCTCTTTCCCTCCTCTTTGGCTTTCTGAATTTTGCTTTTGAGCAAATGCTGCCCTTTTGGTCTCTTATGGTTGTTTTGAAGAGTTAGAGTGTTATTATTCACTCCATAGGCCTGTTTATTGTTTGGCTGAAAAGGGATTGCAGGGACTGGGTTCAGTTCTAGATTTGAAGGGTATCTAAGGGCCACCGCCTCAGGAGTTCCAGCAGTCTCTATAAGGTAAATAAGTCTGGCCTTTTTTAGGGTTTTGAATTGTGTTCTACATCATTTGGAAAGGTCTTGTTGCTTTAAAGCAACTCAACCACTGTGAGAACTTCCCCCATTAGTTACATCAGTGCTGGCTTCCCTGTGCTTGCCTAGTCCATTTATGAACAACAGTTAGCTACAGATGCTGTTGGGATTTATTATGTGGCTTACTCAGAGGGGAACATCTTGCAATCTTAGTATGTATTTGCTTTCCTGGTTATTCAGTGACCCTGGGAAAATATTAAATGAAAAGTTCTGTTATGTTAGTGCATAGCGGTATTTCTCTGCTTTGGTAATACATTAGAATCACATGGGGCACTTTAAACAATACTGGTGAATAAGTCCTGCCCAACTGTATCCATTTGCCAGGTGAGTGAGTCTATTGTGACTCACGTGACCTCATGTTTGTTAGAGTAGAACTGAGCTTCATAGGGTTTTCAATGGCTGAGTCTTTGGAAGTAGATTGTCAGACTTCCACCTCTGGGTGGACTTGAACTTCTAACCCTTGTGGTCAGCAGCTGAGTGTGCTACCCATTTGGACAGCCTGGGGACTCCTTCTAGGGCAATAGTGGTAGGGCTGGCATCAGTATTTGTTATGTTCTCAGGAAGTTCTAATGTACTTTTGAGAACCACTGATGTAAAGGGTGATGGACAGATGGATGAGGAGGAAAAGGAATGAAGGTGGAGATGAAGACATGTTAAATGGCAAGAACAGCAGCTCAGGAATTAGTTGGTTGTGAGCTTGAATTTCAGCTTGGGTACATGCTAGAACCATGTGACACCACTGAAATTATTTCACTCCCCTGAGCCTCAGGTTTGATATTTTCATAATGAGTATATTAATACTTCCTTATATAGTAGTTGTAAGAATTAAAGAAATGCATGAGAAGTCCCTGTCACATAGCAGACAATTTATACAATGAGCTATTTTTTATCCTTATTAGTATTTAACAATGTTGAAAAATTATTCTGTGCCAGGTACTATTCTAAGTTATTAGAAAAGAAGGTGAGGAAGAGGAGTTCAGGGTTGATTAAGCAATGGTGGAGGAAGGCCTAGGGGAGCCATACAATAGTGCCCACCCACCCAGTGACATTACCTCTGCATGTATGAGCGGAGGAGCGTGATTCCCAGCAGAAAGTACATCATGATGGAGCACACCATCATGGCCAGTCCCAGGAGAATGGCCCGGTCTTCTCCTGCTTTCAGTGCTGTGACTGTTTTCCTTTTGTCCAGGAGGTCGTGGTCCTTGATTTTTTGGTAAATATTTCTGAGGTTGGAAATAATAGAGTCTTACATGAAGTTCACAGTTAATCAGCATGCCCCTAGAGAGCAGGTAAGTTCTCCCCATGCCTTCCTAGGAGTAGAGAGAGCCCTAGAAGAGCCTTCTAAACCACAACTGAATCCTGCTGAGCCTGCGTAAAATCACTGCTTCCAAACACACACACACACACACACAGGTGCACACACATAAAACCTTGAAAATAATAATAAAAAAAAAAGCTCTCCTTTAGCTTGATGCTCAGGTCTAACTATTAAATCATGTTTTTCATCTTCCCTGACCACAATTCTATTCAAACCCTCCAGCCACTCCACAGAAGGAAGACTGGGTAAACTACTTCTGTAAAGATTTACTGCCTTGGAAACCCAATAGGGGTCACTATGAGTTGGAATCTGCTCAATGGCTGTGGGTTTGGGTTTTGGTAACCCAATTCTCGAGAAAGAAAGCAATTGCCTCAATCCTCAGAAAGTATGCTTTGGGCTTATTACCTTTGCTATTTATCCCCAACTGATCAGCATTGGTCTTTTTATAAATAACCCAAATAAAATATAGTTACATACATTAGGAATTGTAAACTTAATACTTTATTTCCCCTCATCACGATTAGAGAGGATTCACTTTGGTTAATATTTTTCTCAAGCTTAGAGTAGTTTAGGACTCTGAGATTTATAAACATGTGAAGATACAGAGTGGTGACTTAGATTTCCTTTATTATATGTGACAGGACTTGAATGAGTTTAGAAATGCATCAATCAAATCAAGGCCAGACCTCATAACTTTGGATAGTTTTGTAAAAATATTAGAGTAGTGACATGGAATAAAAAAGAACACCAGAATGGAGTGCAAAGTCATAGCCAAATGGTCTCCTGAGTTCAAAACTTGATGTCATTGCTTATTAGTTGTGTGATCATGGACAAGTTCCTTAGCCTTTCAGATCCTTACTTTCCTGAAAATGGAAACAATGTTTGTTTTACTGTATTGTAGTTATTAAATGAGATGACATGTAAGTCACCTGAGAGAATGACTGGCATGAGATAAGTGAGTAATAAATTTTCCCTATCCTCTTTCAAAAGGAGCTCTGGTGGCATAGTGAGTAGGGATTTTGGCTACTAACAGGAAAGTCAGCAGTTCAAACCCACCAGCTGCTCTGTGGGAGGAAGATGAGGCAATCTATTTCCATAAAGATTTATATCCTTGGAAATTTGAGGCTCGCTATGAGTTGGAATCGACTTGATGGCAGTGGGTTTGGTTTTACCCTCTTTTCAAAGGAGCCCTGGTAGCACAGTGGTTAAGCACTCAGCTGCCAACCGAAAAATCAGTGGTTTGAACCCACCAGGTTGCTCCACAGGAGAAAGACATGGCAGTCTGCTTCTATAAAGATTCACAGGCTTGGAAAACCTATTGAATAAATTCTACTTTGAACTGACTCAACAGCGATAGGTTTTTGTATCCTCTTTTCATCATGAGATGGGGAGCTACAGTTTAATGAATGACATGAATATCAGAACATCCTAAAATCGCTACTGTTCTCCAAAGGCTTTTACTAAATGACAGAAAGGCACTGGAATGAAAAGCATACAAAACCTGGGAGTGGAGAAGTGGATTTGAAAAGTCAATATGCATAAAAATAATTTTAGATTTCTCTTTTAATTATTTATCACTGACTGCTCTTGCTGGGTGAACAATAGCCTTAAAAGACTTGGAATTTTCCTAGCATGATGCTAGCTTACTCAGGAGAAGAAACCAGAGTAGAATCCAGAGCAGAGAGGGAAGAGGTATCTGTTGTTTGTATGTTGTTGTTGTTGTTGTTGTTATGTGCCGTCGAGTCAGCCCTGACTCATAGCGACCCCTCCTTGGGTTTCCGAGGCAGTATCACTAC